GTTTTGCGCACTTAGCTTGAAAATGCATCCCGTTATCACTTATCATTTCGTCTGACACAACCATAGCGGCGTATAATGTTTTTCTCGATGAATTGAGCTACGTGTTTTGCTGTGAGCTTAGCATATGAAGCGGCTTCGACCCATTTGGTGAAGTAATTGATTGCTACAAGGATGAACTCGTGTCCTCCTTGTCCCGGTGGTGTTATCTTCCCAATGATGTCGATTCCCCAAGTAGAGAAAGGCCATGGAGAAGTGTATGTGTAGAGGAGCGATGGTGGAACATGTTGCAAATTTGCGTAGATTTGGCACTTCATACATTTCTTAATGTACTCGTGACAATCTTTTTCCATGGTAGTCCAATAGTATCCTTGTCGTTGAATTTTTTGGACTGACACTTTTGCATTCATGTGCATTCCACATATTCTGGCAAGAAGGTTCTCCATTGTTTTGTGTGCTTCCTTCTTAGCTATGCACAACAGAGTTCTTCCTAGTGCGATCCTCTTATGGAGTTCTCCCCTAATGAGCACGTAATGTGAGGCCGGGAGCCTCAAAGCACAGCGTACCCTTTATTAGTGTTGGGAGGGTATTCTCCCTTTGTCACATTGATAAGTGGAATTTATGCCACTATTTAGGGCTCATTTCTTTGCCATTTCCCTCCATTTATCGCTTGTTTAGCCCCTCTTTGCCGTGTTTCCCCATATTTTCCATAACAATGTCATTTCCCTTGCATTTCCCCTCTACTTTACCATTTTGTACTGTTGTTGGGTGCTTTCCCTGTGTTTTGCAGGTAAACTAGTCAACAAGTAAAGAAGAGGAGAACATTGGATAGTTCGGAAAGGTGGATTCACGCGCAATTCAAGAGAGAGGGCGCGCAATTGAGATGAAATCAGAGTTTTGTCCACTGTAGATGCCTCGCGCGCCCTCTCCAGGGCGCGCAACCTGACCTTTGCTCACTATTTTGGCCATAACCTTTTATCTACAAATCGGATTGAGGTGATTCAAGTTGCATTGGAAACTAGACTTGAAGAGATTTCCAAAGGTAGGTCACACACCCTAAGAGGCTTCCTAGAACAGAAGTTATGGCCGTTTGAAAATGAATGTCGCTGTCAGGCCAGTCCCAGTGCGCGGGCGCGTAGATGTGTCTTCGCGAGCGCGCTCGATAGCAGCAGCTTTCTTTTCTTTCGCCCTATAAAAGCTGAAGAAAGGGGAAGGCAGAGAGGGGGGACGCACAAGCAGCACTAAGGGTTTTCTTTGGGGGTTTCCTCCCCTCCTTAGGGGATGGAAAACCCCTTGCTTTCTCATCAATTTCCTTCATAGATTTAAGCTTTAATTAGGTTTAATCTTGTTTTTAATTAGGTTAGAGTAGTGTAGAGAGAGAAAGTGAAGAACCAATGGTGGATTGAAGAGGTTGAAGATGCAATTGTGACCTTGTCTTGGATTCCTCTTCAGTAAACTAATGAGCAATTCTAACTCTATCTCATTTATTTCTTTCTTTAATTATTGCTTTGTTTAGTTCTTTGAATGTTTAGAGTAGTTATTTAGGTTTATGATTTTCTCTTGTTCTTGTTCTTGTTCTTAGTTTCTCCCTTGTTCTTCTTGTTGGTTAATGTTAGATGTTTTGTTAGTTTAGTTTGTGTTAGTTTCCTTGCCAAGTTAATCATGTTATTGCTTATTAGTTTCTGACTATCTTTTGATTTTCCATGGTTAATGAGTAATATACATGATTAATGGGTTACTTTTCATCCTTGGTTATTGATTATGTTGTAGTATTAACTCAAGTATGTTAAGGTTTAGGACTTGATTAATGTGTGATTAAATAACTTTGTTTTCCATTCTCAACCGAATGTTTCATGTGAGTGTACATATCATGAGGTGTTTGGGGTAGATTGAACTAGGAATAGTCCGGGAGGATGACTTAGGAAAGTCTATTGGGTGACTTGTTTTACACTTTATCTCGATTTTCTAGCAATAGTCCGGGAGGATGAGTTAGATTTGAGATCATTAGTGTCCCGAGCATGAGTTACTTGGTTCGCTAATTTGATCAATTTCCTGGGCTTGAATATGTTTGTGATGATACTATGCGTTGTTAATTGCCTAGGATACCTTTCTTAGTTAGTTTAGATTATGTTTTGATCTAGGGGTATCGGACAAAGGTTGTGTTGATAAATTTGGTAATTGATTGTGATTAACATGTAATTGATGCTTGGTTATTGTGTATGGATGATTGATGATTTTAGGGCTTTAGTGTGTTTTCGATTGATTGCACGGGAGTGAATCGATTAAGAGCGTCTATATTCATCTGTACCTATGCTAGGCTAGTGGTGCGGGTGCAAATTAATCTAGTAGGAGTGATTAGCGTGCTAGATTGTGCGGGAGCAAATTGAACATGTTGATTGTTCCTAATTAAGTATCATGATCGTTTAATTGCAGCTGTTTATTGAATTCATTGACATAATCGGATTCCACTTTTCCCTGCTCTTTGTATTCTTTAGTTAGGTAAAGTCCTTTAGTCTTAGTTTATTTTTCTTGCCTCTCCTTAGGTTAGTTGTCGCCCTTTCTTTAACTCCTATCCGGACTAACCTAATTGGTGAATGCAATTGTAGTAATGATACCGTTATCTGTGGTTCGACCCTATACTTATCACTATGCTTATGCTTAGTTGTAAGTTTAGGTATTATAAATGTGTTTGATGGAGGACTCCTAGTTAGTTCAACAACCAAGGAACCAAACCTGCCATCAAATTGTGTTTAAATGGAGGACTCCTATTTAGTTAACTCTGATTCATTAAGTGCATTCATGCTTTAGCTTTACTCGGGACGAGTAAAGGTTAAGCTTGGGGGAATTTGATAAGTGGCATTTATGCCACTATTTAGGGCTCATTTCTTTGCCATTTCCCTCCATTTATCGTTTGTTTAGCCCCTCTTTGCCGTGTTTCCCCATATTTTGCATAACAAAGTCATTTCCCTTGCATTTCCCCTCTACTTTACCTTTTTGTACTGTTGTTGGGTGTTTTCCCTGTGTTTTGCAGGTAAACTAGTCAACACGTAAAGAAGAGGAGAATTCAGGATAGTTCGGAAAGGTGGATTCACGCGCAATTCAAGAGAGAGGGCGCGCAATTGAGATGAAATCAGAGTTTTATCCACTGTAGATGCCTCGCGCGCCCTCTCCAGGGCACGCAGCCTGACCTTTGCTTACTGTTTTGGCCATAACGTTTTATCTACAAATCGGATATAGGTGATTCAAGTTGCATTGGAAACTAGACTTGAAGAGATTTCCAACGGTAGCTCACACACCCCAAGAGGTTTCCTAGAAAAGAAGTTATGGCCGTTTTAAAATGAATGTCGCTGTCAGGCCAGTCCCAGTGCGCGAGCGCGAAGATGTGTCTTCGTGGGCGCGCTCGATAGCAGCAGCTTTCTTTTCTTTCGCCCTGTAAAAGCTGAAGAAAGGGGAAGGCAAAGAGGGGGGACGCACAAGCAGCACTAAGGGTTTTCTTTGGGGGTTTCCTCCCCTCCTTAGGGGATGGAAAACCCCTTGCTTTCTCATCAATTTCCTTCATAGATTTACGCTTTAATTAGGTTTAATCTTGTTTTTAATTAGGTTAGAGTAGTGTAGAGAGAGAAAGTGAAGAACTTCAATGGTGGATTGAAGAGGTTGAAGATGCAATTGTGACCTTGTTTTGGAATCCTCTTCAGTAAACTAATGAGCAATTCTAACTCTATCTCATTTATTTCTTTCTTTAATTATTGCTTTGTTTAGTTCTTTGAATGTTTAGAATAGTTATTTAGGTTTATGCTTTTCTCTTGTTCTTGTTCTTAGTTTCTCCCTTGTTCTTCTTGTTGGTTAATGTTAGATGTTTTGTTAGTTTAGTTTGTGTTAGTTTCCTTGCCAAGTTAATCATGTTATTGCTTATTAGTTTATGACTATCTTTTGATTTTCCATGGTTAATGAGTAATATACATGATTGATGGGTTATTTTTCATCCTTGGTTATTGATTATGTTGTAGTATTAGCTCAAGTATGTTAAGGTTTAGGACTTGATTAATGTGTGATTAAATATCTTTGTTTTCCATTCTCAACCGAATGTTTCATGTGAGTGTACATATCATGAGGTGTTTGGGTTAGATTGAACTAGGAATAGTCCGGGAGGATGACTTAGGAAAGTCTATTGGGTGACTTGTTTTACACGTTATCTCGATTTTCTAGCAATAGTCCGGGAGGATGAGTTAGATTTGAGATCATTAGTGTCCCGAGCATGAGTTACTTGGTTCGCTAATTTGATCAATTTCCTGGGCTTGAATATGTTTGTGATGATACTATGCGTTGTTAATTGCCTAGGATACCTTTCTTAGTTAGTTTAGATTATGTTTTGATCTAGGGGTATCGGACGAAGGTTGTGTTGATAAATTTGGTAATTGATTGTGATTAACATGTAATTGATGCTTGGTTATTGTGTATGGATGATTGATGATTTTAGGGCTTTAGTGTGTTTTCGATTGATTGCACGGGAGTGAATCGATTAAGAGCGTCTATATTCATCTGTACCTATGCTAGGCTAGTTGTGCGGGTGCAAATTAATCTAGTAGGAGTGATTAGCGTGCTAGATTGTGCTGGAGCAAATTGAACATGTTGATTGTTCCTAATTAAGTATCATGATCGTTTAATTGCAGCTGTTTATTGAATTCATTGACATAATCGGATTCCACTTTTCCCTGCTTTTTGTATTCCTTAGTTAGGTAGAGTCTTTTAGTCTTAGTTTATTTTTCTTGCCTCTCCTTAGGTTAGTTGTCGCCCTTTCTTTACCTCCTATCCGGACTAGCTTAATTGGTGAATGCAATTGTAGTAATGATACCGTTCTCTGTGGTTCGACCCTATACTTATCACTATGCTTATGCTTAGTTGTAAGTTTAGGTATTATAAATGTGTTTGATGGAGGACTCCTAGTTAGTTCAACGACCAAGGAACCAAACCTGCCATCACACATAGTTAAGGATGTATGTGTATCACGGCTCTTTGTCTTCTTCTTGCGAGTCTTGTTTATCAGCAAGTGCATGAACATAAGTCGGCTCATATCGTTGTTCTATGGTCAATAGCATTCTAATTGTATCTCTTGGAATCCGGACCATTAAATCCAACTTAGCTAGCGCATCAGCGAACTGATTTTCTTCTCTAGGTAAATAAGTGTATTCCACTTCATCTAGTTTCTCTATGAGAGTTTCCAAATGAGCTTGATATGTAGCAAGACTTTCACTTCTCATTTTCCATCTCTTTGAAATTTGGTTGATGATTAATGAAGAGTCACCATAAATTCTTAGCTTCTTGATTCCCAAAGCGACAACTGTCTCTAATTCCAAGATGCATGCTTCGTATTCTACAACATTGTTGGTGACATCAAAATCGAGCTTCATAGAAATTGGGATGTGCTCTTCGTTGGGTGATACGAGTAAGACTCCTATACCACAACCTTTTTGGTTTGAAGCTCCATCGAAATAGAGCGTCCAAGTATCATCCTCAGTCATAACAAATCTTCATTAAGGAAATCATACTCTTCTACCGCCGTCTCAGGTTCTTCTAATGGGAAATCTGCTAAAAAGTCGGAAATTGCGGAACCTTTGATGGCTTTTTGTGACATGAACATCAATTGAAACTCAGCAAGGTTGACTATCGATCTTGACAATCTGCCATTGAGAATGGCTTTCTCGAACAAGTACTTGAAAGGGTCCATCTTTGACACGCACGACATGCATTGTATAAGTTATCATATAATGCCTTAGCTTCTTTACGGGCCACACAAGTGCGAGGCACAATTTTTCGAGTGGTGTATACTAGACCTCGTAGCCTTGAAGCTTCTTACTCAAGTAGTAGATTACATTTTCTTTGTTTTCGATTTCTTGTGCTATCATTGCCCCTATTGTTTCTCTTGTGACCGTAAGGTAGAGTTGAAGAAGAAGGTCAAGTATTGCTGGTGCTATCACAGGTGGATTTTCCAAGTATGCTTTGATCTTATCGAAAGCTTTTTGGCATTCATCATCCCACGTGATTGGGACATTCTTCTCGAGTTTCTTGAATGTAGGTTTGAAAGGAGTGGTGTCGTTCCAACAAGTGCATTATTCCGATAGAGGGTTCAAAATTATTAGAAAGCTAATTTTTCAGTAAGGTTAAGTGATCGGAATGCCTAGGTGGAGGCCGCTTCCGATCAATAATATTAATGTATAATTAAAATTACAGCTTAATCTTGACTGAACCCTTCTGGTCACACCCAATCGAGTAATCGATCCGAGACGACGAATTAATCTGAAGGATTAAATGAGTCGTTAGAGTATTACGAACAAAGACGTCGGATATCGAGCTTAGAGCGTCGAGACCGAGCGTTGCAATTCGAGTCGAATTTATAATTCGACGAGATGTAGAATCAAGCAAGCGACGAGTACGAACCAAGCTGTAGCCTCGCATTGCCCTAGCCATGCGATTGCTAGGATAGGCGAGGGCATCAACCGCATGCATGCTAGCATGGTGGGCATCGCACTCAGCCACACACATAGCCGCAGCTAGGCTACGCTTAGCATGCAAGCATCGCAAGCAGGGTTCCTTGCGTATGCATGCTATGCTTGCTTGCTAGCATGCTAGGGCCTAGCGCCCAGTTCTTCGCAGCCTCGTACCAAGCAGCGCACTTGCACAGCACACGCATCGCAGCAGCGTGTTGTATGTGTGTATGTCTTGCTGTGCGTGCTTGCTAACGAGCAGCACCAAGCACCATGCCACTCGCACATCAACACACACCAAGCAGCAGCAGCAGCAACGCATGCGTGTGCTGGCTAGCTGCATGCTGGCTGGGTGGGCTGCCCACCCTTGGTGTTAGATGCCAACTGGCAGCCTTGGCAGCCAAGGCAGGCTGCCAGCCAGGCAAGTGGCATGGTCAAGCATGGGGTCTTGGTGGGGACTGATTCTTGGTGGCTTTGCTTGATGAGCAAGGAGTATTGGTCCCCCCTTTGGTGGTCCTCACCAACCTACTCCCTCCATGTGACACTTGGAGCTTGTTGATTGTTTTGCATTTTAATTTGTTTTTTATTAAAATAAATTGGTTGAAAAATGCAATTCTCCCACATTGATGGGAGAAGGGAGATCAATTCTCGTTTCCTTATAAATACATAAGTTTTGGGTTTGGGAAAAACCACTTGTGTTGAACTCAATAAGGCATGTCCCTATAGGTGAGAAAACGTTTAAGTTCGTAATACTCTAGTCTTTTCTTGATCTAGCCCCGACTAACCTTCTAGGTAGAGGTCGTTCGAGTCGGGTCTCGAGGGTGGACTCCGTCGGAGGCTCTCGTGCTTGCGGAGCTAAGGCTTTGAAGTCCGAACTCTATAGGAGTGAAGCACGCGTCAAGGGTAAGAATGTCATTTCCCTTTCTCTTTCACTTGTTGTTCAATTATGTGATTGCATGCTTAGTTGCTTTAATTAGTAGGTGGGTCTTGGGCGGGTTTCTCTTTCGCGTAGTGTTGGACGCTACGAAACCAAACAGCTGTATCGAAGCCGCGCTCATTTTAATTACTGTAACTAATAATTGATTGAGGTGATTTAAAATGGATTTAAATTCTGGTTTTGCTTTCTAATTAGATTAGAAGCTCGTTTTAATTAGTTTTAATCTCGTATTTTACTAATTTTGGCTGACGAACCCAGATTTCGACTCAAAATAGTGATTTTTGGGTGGAACCAATGTTCTAAATCGTTTTAGATCCCTTTGAGGACTTTCCAAAAGCCAAATTCCACCGAGAAACATGTTTTTCGAGGGGTTTTTCGTTTTTGACGAAAATTTTATATCTTTATGGCATGTTGAGGTAGATTAAATGCATGGTTACATCACTAATCTAGTGCAATTATAAACCTTATTAAACATGTTTATGAAGTCATGATTGGTGCTTAATTTGGTGAGTTCATTTTTCATAAAAACTTGAAATTTTCACATTTTTGCAAATAACTTGCTTCATGTGTGAATGTTTATGGTGAACTTGTAATTTTGAAGTCCCTAACATATTAAAGATCCCATCTTTAATTGTTTATTTGGTTGGAACTTTGATTGCTAAATCCATGTTGAACTAATTTTTGGATTTGATCATTTTGGGTTGATTAAAGTCCTAAAAGTTCAAAAACTTGTGGTTGAAATTTAATTAATCTTCATATTGGAAGATGTAATTTTTCAATTATTCACAAGTTAGTGTTGGAAATTTTTGGTTAGATGAATGGGTTTATTTTTCCAACCTCTTCAATTTTGTCAAATCTCATTATTAATTTATGTATGGTTAAATTAATTATGAGTATAGGACATCAATTTTGTAGCATCAAGATGAACCTAAATTGATTTAAAGAATGGTTATTAAATAATTTAGGCTTGTGCACTACAAAATTTGAATTTAATTAAGTTGGACTTGTTTAATTTTCATTTTGCTCTAAGTTAGTTCTAAAATAAATTTAGAATTAATTTTTATCACACATATATCGGGAATTAAAATCCCGAGACAAGTGCATGTAAATCAAGGCAAAACCGCCCAAACCGTGCCCTTAGGCTAGCCGGGCTGCTGAAGCAGCCCACATGTGGCTGCCAAGGTGCGTGGTTGGGCTGCCTTGCCTCATAGATGCGCTAGTGTGTGGACGGCTGGGTGCACATCATGTGAGTGCTTGATGCGTGTGATGTGTGGCTGCTGGAAGGCACCCGCAAGTGCTGTTGGGAAGCAAGGCATGCGAGCCCCAGCAAGCCTAGCCACACGCTGCCAGCGCCAGCATGCACGCAAGCATGCGCAGCATGCTACGATGCTGCTGGTGCCAGCAAGCATAGCGTGCTCTACTAGGCAGGCATGCCAGCACGTACAACCTCGGCACCTAGGGGTAGCAAGCCAGCCATGGTGGGCAGCAAGGCATACGAGCCCGAGCAAGCCCAACCACACGCTGCCAGCGCAAGCATGCACGCAAGTGCTGCTGGGCAGCAAGGCATGCGAGCCCCGGTAAGCCCAGCCACACGCTGCCAGTGCCAGCATGCACGCAAGCATGCGCAGCGTGCTATGATGCTGCTGGTGCCAGCAGGCGTAGAGTGCTCTACTAGGCAAGCATGCCAGCACGCACAGCCTCGGCACCTAGGGGCAGGAAGCCAGCCATGGTGGGCAGGCCAGCACCCTAGGCATGCGAACCACGGGGGCCATGGTGCCTAGCAAGCCTAGCCCCGTGGCTTTAATACTAGGCACTTGGGCATGTTGTGGGCTATTATTTTGTGTAATTAGGTCGTTTTATTTATTTATTTAATTATTCTAACGAGGCTAGGCCTCGGTTCCTCCGACACTTGCAAAATATTTTGGTATAATATGGGTTTACCGGGTTAATTAATTGGATTAATTAAGTTAGATGTGGAATTTAGTGGGAGCTTCGTTAATTACTTGAATGAATTGCATTTTAATCACATAAAATGTTAAACAACTTTGACTAGTTTTAATTAGGCGCGTTAATTGGATTAACCTCCTAAGTTAGTTACTAGTTTGCGCGTGTTATGCATTGTTACTTGTTTTTCGTTGTAAAATGCATGGGCCATTCACATATAGTGAATGGATGAATGGAATGTATATTCTTTCAAAGGTTTTGTGACAATGGCAACTTGTGGGGCCCGACTAAGATAGTAAATACGGACTGCGATCCGTTATGTATTTTTGTGATTTTAAATACGGTCTCCGTACCGTTGTGTACTTTTGTACCTTAATATTTAGATTAATCCTAGTCATAGTAACTAGTAATTGCATATTTGGCGGAGATGTCTCGAAGACAGCGTTTCTAAGAAGACGAGCCAAGAGGATGCATCGAAGACCCTTGAAGATTTAAAGACTCAAGGGGTCATGCTGGTTACCAAATGCATCTTTTACTTATGATTTCTATATATAATTGTGTTTATATATGATTGAATGGTATGATAGATGCATGTTTAGGGTTTCAAATGTTGCAATGATTAATTAAGTTCACTTAAATCAACCAACATAGAAACCCTAGGTCCCTATAATATTAAGCCAAATTTTCCATTCCAAGAACGACACTTACCGAACTAATGCGCGTGGTGATGGGCTACGATAAAGCGAGGCATCACCGCTTCCCTAGGAACGTAAGGTATACTAGGTATACAAGTTGTCTTGCTTAAGCTCAACGATATCAGTAAGGAGTCCTTAGATGTCGTGGCAATGGAAATGTCAAGGAAGCATTAGATGCGACGTTTTAACGAACCAAGAGTAGCTTAGAGCTATTAGTTATTGGATTGCTTACCTTAAAATATTAAGTGTTAAGACAAGCTAAAGCATGCTTAATCACTTTCTGATTTTTGGGATCTTGGAATCGTTTTATTCTCGCCTAAAAAGGATAAATTTTAATACGTGGATAACACACGTAATAAGATTGAAAGTTTGCATGTATGCATTGAATTTCAAACTTATTATGTTATGAACTTGATAAATGAGATACTTTGCACTTATATTTGTAGAATTATAAATCAAAT